GCCAGAAAAATGCAGGAGTATGACTAGTTGTTCGGCGTCTGCGCTCATAACAAACCCAAGCCAAGCGTCTAGATACTTCAGACTAGCGTGCCAGATGATAGTCTTGTGATTTCTGTGCCGAAGAGCTCTCAAGCTCATATGCACCTCGAGTTAAGTGAAGAAATTCACCATCATTTCGAACCAAAATCGGTCGAATACGAATAGCTTTGCGGACCTAGCTCGAGTAGCAGACCGAGTTCAGAGCTCTAGATGCTTCAGCCGAACGCGCCTGATGATTCTGAATCGATTACGTGTGCGTACCAGCTCTGTAGCTATGCTATAGCTCGGGTTAAGTACAGAAAGCTGACAGCGCCCGTCAAGATGACTCGAAGAATACGAAAAGCTTCGCGGACCTAGCTTGAGTAGCAGACCGAGTTCAGACCTCTGGAAGCTTCAGACGAAAGCGACTGATGATTCTGAATCGATTACGTGTGCTTACCAGCTCTGTAGCTCTCCTACACCTCGAGTTAAGTACAAAAAACTGACAGCCCCTGTCAAGAGAACTCTCCCCGAACAAAATGATATTTCAGGAATCTGAACCTGCGCGTCGCTCCGCCTGAACCGTCGGCGCACGCAAACATGATCTCCAGCTTGCGATCTACGAGAGAGAAGCTTGGCAATCAAACAAGAACGGGTTCAAACTGACCGCGAACGCAATTCCGCTCGCGGGACAACCCTGGATAATGCCAGAGCATGTCGGGAACATTCAGAACATGATGCCTTCCGAAACACCAAAGCGTGGACATGCTGGCGCAGTGCCGAGACGCCCTGCGTCATCGGTTCAGGGAGCTCCATGCCCCCCCCCCCCCCCCCCCCCCCCCCCCCCCCCCCCTGAGACTTTCTTTCATTATCCAGGAATGGGCCTTCGATGGGGAAGACCTGGGGGAAGTCGACGGACGGGAGCAGTCATTTGGGGCGCTCGGGGAGAGGGCTGCTAACTTGGCGCAGGTGTCAAAGACGATCATGCTGCTCCTGCGCTGGCGCCCGAATGTGACGCCCCGCTGGAGGAGGCGAACAGACCCCCGCCATCTTCGCGGCGAACGGTCGCGCGGGTTCTCGCAGTTCTTTCAATCGAGGGGGCGAAACGACCGCGCGTCGCGAGCGGTGCCCAGGGCGCCCCCCATCTCCCACCCCTTCGGCACGAAGGTGCTCTATAACGCATTAACATATGAGACAGGTCTGTTTCCCGCCAAGACCCACTGGATACAATCGCCCAAGAACTCGGCAGCGCGCGGCGCTGCCTTCCAAGCAGCGCGCGGAAGTCGGTCGGGGACAGGGGCGCGTTTTTCCAAGCGTTCGAAGCGCCATCGCACGCCTGCTAAGATGGGCCAGGGGCACCTCCGCAAAGTTCACCTCGCCTCCGAATCTCTCCAGGCATTGGTTGGCGGATCCACTCCACCGCAATGTCAGGGCCAATGGCCCCGGGCCAATGGCTCTCAATGGCCGACTGCGTTCCTTCGGCCGTCGTTGCCGCGTAATTCCTTTCAATAGCATGCGTCGACTTGCCCCGCGCTGCGAACAGGCGGCCCCGTCGGACCAGTCGCCGCCGCGCGATGGTCTTCGACGCCGCCCGCGCCATGAATGAGACTCGCGCTCGCTCGAGCTGCCCGCGACCCACTAATCTCGCGAGCTCCGCGGTCGCCCCGCGCAAGGCCACGGCGGCGACCCAGGGCGCGCCGACGCCTGCGGAGCGCCCCCGCCCGACCCCACTCCGGCGGGGGCCTGCGAGGAGCTCCACGCCGCGCAGTCATGCGACCGGGAGTCCGCCGCGATTGCGACGGCGCCCTTCGACCGCGTCGGTCTGATCTCCTTGCCGAGCGCGGGCGCCGAGCCATTGCGTTTGCCCGAGCTCGTCGGGGGCGCCGGCCTGAGAATCGGCCGCCGTCTTCCAGAACATCCCCCGCCCCGTGAGCGAGGGTTCGCACGGGTCGCTGAGCGCGCTCTGAAGCAGGCCCAGTTGGACCCCGACCTCAAGAACCTCGGCTGCACAAGTAAGTCTTGCACCGCTATGTCATCGCACCTCGTTGAATTCCACGCAGCAGCACGGAGCCCCATGTGGCATGCGCTTCGCCCGTGAGAAGTAAGGCGTTCTAAAGTTCATTCTAGAGAGGGCAGAATCCCGTCGCAGTCATTTGTCGAGCCTCCGACACTGACGTTGGCGACAGCGGCTGTTTTCTCTCGCCTTCGAGTTGGCCGCAAGGCGCCGGCGCGCGTCGCTGGCGCCGATGCCGCAAATGCTGTCTACGCCATGTTGCTACCTCCTGGCTCCGCCCGTATTCTGGCCATCTCAAGATCAGAGCAGGCGAGTTTTAGGGGCCTCGGTCGCAGCTGCGCGGCAGCGCGTGCCCCCGCCCCAGTGGGTTCACCCATGCTGCAGATGCCCCCCCCCGTTGGCTTCAGTCTGGGTTTCTTGTTGCGTCAGGCAGCGAACGGGGCCATGTCGCGGCGGGCCGAGTCGGTCAGCCCTGAGCGCGCGCTGCGCTGGCAGGTCGCTCGCCCGCCCCCGTCGCGGGCGCCGGCGCTGTTCGCGCAGAGTGCGCTGACGTCTTCGTCGCTCTATATTTGTCGCAGGAGTCTGCTGTTGCCGCCGCCCGCCGGGTTGACCAGCAAACGCGCGCAGTTGCGCTTGCTGCCCGCGGGGTTGAGAGCGGGGTGGGCGGCGAGACCTTGCTCTGGGCCTGCGACCCTGACGCCCCGGCGATTTCCTTCAACCGCCGGCCATGGTGCGCGTCGGCACCAGAGTGTTCCATAGGCGGGGGCTCTTCTCGCGCCTGGGGGCGGTCGACAAGTTCGGGGAGGCGCAGAAGAATCGCATCTCTCGTCGCTGGTCGACGCGCTGGGGCCCGACGCCAACGCTGAGATCCGACTGGACAGGAAAAATCAGCGCCTCCGTTGAGCACCGTCGCCCGCGTCCCTGGCCTCGCCGCTTTGATGAATGCCGGCTCTGAGCGCGCGGGGACAAGGCGGGTCGTTCCTGTTCCCCCGGGCGGGCGCTAGGATGTCCATGGGCCGCGCGAGCCCAGCCGGCCCGATGAACCCCGCAAGTCCCGCAATGGTTTCTTGGGCCGCACGCGCGCGGCAGCGCGCGCGGGCCCGATTTGCCGCGCTGGCCCAGCGAGCCGCACGGCCCCATGGGCCCCTTGATTCGCCAGGGCCGCAGCGGGTTTCTGGGCCATGCGAATGTCACGGACCACGGGGGCCCCATGGGCCCCAGGGGCGCCATGAGCCCCATAAGACGCTTCGTTATCATGCAAGCCCCATGGCCTGCAACTTTGAGAGCAATGCGAGCCATCTCAGCCATCTCAAGCTTTCCAAGTTCCTTCGGGTCGCTCAGCCCCCACAGGGAAATCGCCCCCCACTTTTTCAATGGCGTCTTGGCGCTGACGCCGGCTCGTCTTTCCCCGCAACGTCAAGAAGCCGACGCCAGCACCGAGGCCCCTTTCTGGAACGGCGGACCCATGGGCAAGCTGAACCCTTCGACGATTTCGGAAGTTCGCCAGGGGCTGCGGGCCCCGGTCGAGAGGGGGCCGCGGTCTTTGGCCCTGGGCGCGCAGGGCGGCCGTCGCCCCCTTTCGCGGGGAATAAGCGGTTCGACATCGTCGGGCGCTGGCTTCGGGCAAATAAATACTCAGAGATACGACGCGGGCGGACAGTGGGCGGGCGCGTAGAAGGGGGGGGGGGGGGGCATGCGAGGGGGGCGAGCGGGCGGGGGGGAACGCGGCGGAGGGCGGCGGCGGTGGGAGCGAGGCTTCGGTCATGGAGGATGCCGCGTTCTTCCCTCTTGCCCCCCTCCCTCCCGAGAGCGCCCGCCAGTTTCGCTTTTCGCTGGCACTTGTTGTTTCCTGCTTTCCCTCCTACCTGCTGCGCGACGCCCCCCTTCCCCCGCCCCCCCCGGCCACCCCGCGTTTCCTCGGGCCGGGGCGGGGTCGTGCTGGCCCACGACGCAATTCAAAATTTCGCGGAACACTTACTTTCTTGGCGCTGGTGTCGGCTTCTCCCACACGGCCGGCCGTCTCTGGTGGGGCTCTTCTCATATTCTGCAGCAAGGGCCTCGGGTTGCCCTTCGACGCCGCGCTCGCCTGCGTCGCCGCCCCCCCGGGGGCTTCGGGGTCGCGCAGCGCGAAGTCCATGGGGGCTCCATCGAGGGCCTGGCCAGGCACAGCGAGCCCCAGCTGTTTCTCGGGAAGCCGAGCATCAACAACCTGGCCCTCGACCCGCCGCCGTTCCTGGTCTTTGGCCCTCGGTGCGCGCGACGGCCCCCGGGGCCGATTTCGTGGGGCCCCCGAAGGACATCTGGGCAGGGCTACTGGCGCGCTGCCCCGTCGGTGCCGCGGCGGCGCCGCGCACCTCGGGCCATCTTGGAGGCCAGATCTGGCGCCGCGGAACTTGCGCATTAGCTCCGCCCCCAGAAACTGCCGCGGAACGCGGCTCCATCCTCTTGCAGGCCCATGCTTTGGCTCGGGACCTGATGGGCAGGGCAGCACGGGCGCGCTCTCGCTTTGGGCCCTGTCATGTTCTCGGCTGAACTCGACCAACTGCGGATGGCCGGCCTCGAAGCCCAGGAACCCGCCCTTGACCCTGGGCCGCCGGAAGACCTCGCCTGGAACGCCCGGCGGAAGCGGCGCCAACATGCTTGGCGACTTGAGATGAGAGCGGAGATGTGGGTTCCTTTTCTGCTTCGCCGTCGGCAAGGACAGGGCGAGGAGACAGACCCCGATGACGCCGCTGAAGACGCGAGCCCCCCAAAGTACGTCTGCCCCGCGGGGGGGCGCGACCGCGTAGCCCCCTCGGAGACCGGAGACTGCTGGGGGCGGGCGGGGAGTCCGCCTCCAGGCGCCGATCCGCCATTGTGCCAGAGCGCGACGCTCCTTCCCAGCTTTTCGGATCTGCTTCAGAATTCCATCGCCGCGCTGAACTTATTTGGGCGCGCGCCCCAGCAGAGCCGGTGCAAACCATGCGACCGCCCTCGCGGGCCGCGTCCGCAAATACCTCCGCCTCGTCAACGAACCCGAACTTCAAGAGGCCGCCGCTCCAAGCCTTATCCCCGCCCTTGGCCTTCGCCTTGGGATCAGCGTCGGCTGGGGCGGAGGGGCCAGAGCCCGCGTCGCGGGTCTCGTACTCCATGGCGTCCATGTGCTCGCGCAGCTGGCTGCCGCAGCCTGACCTCGACGGCCACGGCGCAGGGCGGGTCCAGGAGGTCCCAGGTCATCAGGTGACCAATCATCCTTACGATGGACTCGCCGTGCGCCACCCCGAAGTCGGCTCGGGAACGGTCGTAGTACGACGCGAAAAGATGGAAAAGCTCGGTGGCGCCACCGCGCTTCCAGTCCACGAAGCGCAGGCACCGCAACGTCGTCCTCGACCCTTCCAGAAGCGAGTCAGGGAAGACCTTCTCGCGAGGCGGTTCACGCTCTCGTGGAACTGCACGCACTGGCGGGGCCCGTCCGCGAGGGGTGGAACCGCCTGGAACCGAGCATTGGCGACAGCTTCAGCACCGCGATTCTGACAAAAAGGTCACCTAGCGGATCGCCGACCCACTCCGTTCCGCGGCCTGTCTCAGGCCGATACCCCCCCGCAAAAGCTCGGAGCCATCTATCGCGATCGGGTCGCCGCGCGCCGCGGCGGTGGCCGTTTCGACGTGGACCCACTGTCCAGCGGGCCCAGGCACGGTCGCCGCAGCGAGGGCTGCCACAGGAGCCGCTGCGCCCGCGAGCGGTGCGGCGGCGGGGCACACCACTGCAAAGGCCGCAACCACGAGGGCAGTCGCGACAGCCGCAAGGCAGGCCCTGGCCATGGGGCCGTCGAAGGAGAAGTGCACCGTCACCCCCGCCCGCGACGCGGCGCCCGGGTGGCCTCTCGCGCGCTCCGGAGCCAGGTGCAGGCCCGTGCGTAGGCCTCCTACTCGGTCTTGATGACAAATATCCTCGGCCGCCGTCAGCGACCGCCTGAACCGGCGCAAGCTGGCCGCACGCAGGCCGGCTGGCCTAGTGCGTCGGTCCTCGAAGCGGACTGCGGCCAAGGTGCCGTCGGAGAGGTCATGCATCTCCTCGTGCGCGTCACAATCTGAAGAGGAAATCAGCAGGCGCAAGGTCGAACACCTCGCGTGAGCTGGATTCTGACCCACCCGACCCCACGCGCGCCACTGATGCCAAAGCGGCGCGCCTGCGCACTGTACCCGGGCCCATCGTCGGACCCCGCGCACTGCACACACTTTCAAGAACGCAACGAGACTGCATGAACTGAGACTTTCGGAGGTCCGCGCGGATGTTCCTGATCGCCGCTAAAGCCCCCCGTACTTGGCGCGGGAAGCGCGCCAGGGGCGGCGCCAGAGACGCCGCCAGGGAGGGTCCAGCGCCGACCCAAGAAACCCGAACGGACCTTCGAAACCTTACACGAGGCTTCATGGGCGATCCTCCCAAATCCGCTCAAGGTCGCCCTCCGTGCCGCTCCCGACCCATCCTGGCCAGCTTTACGAGGTACGTCCAGCCGTGGCGATGACAGCCACCAGAAACTGTCAAAAACCTTCGACACGAAGACAACGTCGTCTTCGTTTCTCGATGTTTCGTCCGTCGCTCCCCCAGCCTACTTCGAGGCACATATACGTAGGCGTATGTTGCTCAAGCATGATCAATAGTCATGTGTGAACATATGTATGCATCAATATGTCTATACTGTACGTGCGTGCGTGTATATGCGTGTATGCATATATCCACATGTGCGTATCGATCGATATTTACCTGGGGGCGGCCTTTCATCCTGAGTCGCTTCTCGACTGCCCGAGCACGAACATACAACAACTGGCACGAAAGACTCCTGCTTGTGAAAGGAGCGGAGCGGAGCGGCGCCAATTCCGGGTACCGAAGTGCCCGTGCACTTCCAGGCAGGGAGCCCGATGCCGTAGCCTCAGATCGCGTGGGTGGAGGTGCGGGTGCAATAGTAAACCAACTGCAGCACATCGGGAGCCTGGGTGAAATAGCACACGACTTGGGACCTGCTTGCGAAAACATGCTCCTGAAGGCTCCCCCTCTTCCTCACCCCTCGGGGCTCGCGGGGGCTGGATGCTCGCGCGGAGGCCCATGCTCGACGGATCCCCTGCAGACCCAGCGGCAGACCAATGCTGCCTTCGGAAAGAGGGGGGGGGGCCTGCCAGCGGGCCCTGCCGGGGGATGGAGAATCCAGGCGCGGGCGCCCCCACCCCCAGTTTCCTTTGTCTCCCCTTCCCCGCCTCGTTTTGAGGGGGAACGTTTGGGCGGGGACCGGCTCAAGGGGGGGGACGTCGAAGTGGAATCGGCGATACACCGCCGACAGCTCGGCGAGAGGCTCCCGCCAGCGCCACCGAGCGTTCCTGGGCGGGTCGGGCCAGGTCCCCTGCCAGCGATGAGTGGGCGCTTGGGGCGATCCTCCCCTGAGCCGATTCCCTCCTTGATGTTGCTCCTGACCCCAATGGCTTTTGGGTCATGG